ATAAATGGACAGTCCATTTATTTAAAATAAGAATTTATTTTGTCGTCGGTCGTGGGGTCCATGCATAAAGAGTTGAATCCGTGTTTAAAGAGTTGAAAGAATTGAACTTTTTTTTGAGGGTGAGGTTTCTATAATGTTTTTGTTGTAAAAAATTCTTAGGATTATCTTAAATCGTATCTAATTAGAAAATTTTATATTTCAAAAATCTTGAAAATGGACGATCTAGATAACGTTTTCCAAGATATATTATTTATGTTATTCAAAATCTTTTTTTTTTTCATATTCATACATCTCGATGTCGAGATAATCAATTAGAGAGTTTTTCATTTTAAAACAACCTTTCAATAGATTTTTGAGGTGCATCTGTTATTCAAAAACTTTTTTTTTTTCCATGTTCATACATCTCGATTTTGAGGTGCATCTGTTATTCAAATTTTTTTTTTTTTTATATTCATACATCTCGATGTCGAGATAATCAATGATGTGGTTGGTAGTGACGAGGTTATCTTGAGTGTGAAAAAAAAAGAATGAGTAAAAGTTAAAAAAGTAAAAAAGGGAGGATATTGTAAAGGCGTGGTTTTCTTTTAGCGTTAAAAAGAGGTTTACGTTTACATTATCTTCTTCCTTATTTCTTTTCAGCTACGTCAGGTGCCATCAAAGTCTCGATTCTTATGGGATTGCGATACTCATTGACAATGCATCACGTTTTGTGAATGTGCTCGACACCGGGTACTAGGAATTAGCCGATTCAACGAGAGCGAAATCTCCGAGATATAGAGATTGAAAGTTTGAGAAAGCAAGTAGAAGAATTGACCTAACGCTTAGATGCTATTTTTTAGAACCTGTTCCATATGCACGCTTCGCGTCGAGAATCTCAAACGGTCTGGGCACTACCCCTAGAGCTAGAGCTCGTGGCACTGTCCTAAAGATGGTATCTTTGGACCAAGGGGTAATTTTGAAAAAAATAAAAAAATACAGGTTGACCGACCAGCAATGTAATTTCTGCCTATAAATAGAGCATTTTGTATTTTCGATAAAGTTTTGAGTTCGTATGTTATAAAATATTGAGAAGGTGCCATATCCTTCTCCCAACTAGTCCACTCATTAGATGTCAAATTTGATGGATTAGAGTAAATCACAAATTTCAAAAGAAAAATTTGGAACATTGTGTCTATTCAATGACACTTATACAACCATTCATTGATATTTAAGGGACAAGACCTTGTAAAATGGTAAATGGTCTCTTTGTATATTTTTCCTATTGATATTATGTAGTCAACAAAATTTACCAGTTTATACAATGTCCTCTACTAGAGGTGGCAATTGACCTGGACCCAGACCTGATCCTAGACCCAAGGGGTAGACTCGATCCGGCTGTGGGTATGGGTCCAAAAATTGGATCCAGTGGGTCAGGTTTGGATCCAAATCTTAGACCCAAACACTATTCGGGTCTAAGTCTGGTAATACTTTTTGGATCCCAACATATAAAATATAGCTAAATAAATAGATATTTTAATTTTTAGATCCGATTCGATAGGGTTAGAGTCCAAGTCCTATACTATATTTTTGGATCTGGGTCTGTGTCCAGGGAATTCGGGTCACCCCTACCGACAACCTCATTGGGAAGCAACGAACAATAATTTCGAGGTATATCAAGCGAATTCGGGTCAAAGCAACAAAAAATAATATCGAGGTATATCAAGCGAATTCGGGTTAAAGCAACGAAAAATAATATCGAGGTATATCAAGGGAACAATACAAGATGGTTAACAAGCAAAAAATCAACAACAAAATGGCGCAGCGAATCCGAGTATAGGGCAATGAACATTGTTGCTGCATGGGTGCTTGGTTTATAGTTTTTTTATGGAAATTGGTGCACCCGTTCAAAGTACATAGAGACTAGAGACTGATAACCAAAGGACCCGGTTTCAATGCGGCCCAACCTGCAAATGTAGTACTACAGGCCTCTTAATAAATTTATTTTTGAGATATCCTTGTAAACATTTGGACCATTAGCTTCTATTGTTTTTAGATATTCAAGTATTGGGAAAACTTTACATCGATCATCTCAGCATGAACATTATGGTTTGGAACAAATTAGGATTTCAAGCTTCTACGAATAGTGTAAATTTGTAACGGATTATCAAGACCATCGCCCATTACGCCTTAAAATAGTGCATATTTGTAACAGATTATCAAGACATTACACCTTAAAAATAAGTATTCATAGATCCGGAAGATCAGTACTATTTTTTGAGTTTAAAATTTTATTGTTGGTTTTAGAAATTAATTTTATCCTGAAGATCAATACTATTTTTTGAGTTCAAAAATTTTATTGTTGGTTTTGGAAATTAATTTTTTAGAAATTAATTTTAGAACCATTACGGAGATTTCCGCTGCCGAAAGTACTTTTCAGACGAGACTTTGAGGTGAGGCTCTATTAAGTTTCATAAAGCCTAACCCTTATAGAAACTTCATCTTTTATTATTTATTTACTATTGTACCCTGAGAGTGAGAGTGTGTTATGGTCAACTGTCGAGTGAATTCACTAGCCTCTATGAATTTCGTGTTTGATATTGTCCCACAAAAGCTCAAAGCTGGTGATTTAGCCATTTGGTGATTTAGCCATGAGTCCACATGAGTATAATTTGTCCACTTAAGTATTAGAAGATTAGGAGAAGCACACAAACGCGTGCTCACACACACAGACCTATCACATGTAAACACCAGTCTTTCAAAACCCAAACCGGTTGGGCAGATTGTTCACCCACTGAACCTTGTCAGATTGCTAAACAAAATAAAATAAAAACTAGAATAGGGGTTTATGTGGTGGGGATTTAAAAAGAATCTTAAAAAACAAAATAAAAACTACAATAGGGGGTTTATGAGGTTGGGATTTAAAAAAACCTAAAAAAATACTAGATAAATTAAAAAAAAAAAATTTAAAAGGGGCTTCAGGGGTTTGGATCTTGAAAGTCATCATCTATCTTGTCATACCTTCTACCATGTTTGGTGGAGCCCTGACTACCGCAAGATTTGGCCTCTCCATGTTCCCATGCCAACCTTCATGCATCATTGCAAAAAACGAAGGTTAACCACTTGTACCATTTGCATATATAATACAAGAAGAAAAACTTCATGATGTGTTCTAGATGCACCTATTTAAATAATTCATTTTTTAAAAATCTACTTTAGAAATGGACTTCAGTGCATTCATTTTGTAAAAATCTAGTTTAGAGAAATGGACTTCAGTGCATTCATTTTCTAAAAATCTATTTTAGAAATGGACTTCAAAAGTTAAAAGTTGAAATTCGTGAATATAGTGGTTGAGATTACTGACCTTTAAAATTTTAGATCTAGACTAAAATGGAATTTTAGAAGAAGACGCATTTGAGAAAGTATGTAGCCTAATGCACCAAAATCGATCCACAACCTGATGTTCAAAGGGTCACAATATACATTTTTCATTATAAATGATAAAATGTTTATTGCAAAAAACGTGCTTCTTACTAAATACTGCTACTCTTTTTAATAAGAAATATAACTAGTGTAGATCGAATACTAAATAATATTGATAACTAACGGTCCAGAAAACGCACAATCTTGAGGTCCAGAAAATATACTATTTTCATAACAAATTTTTTCTAGTGAATTTTTAAGATTCTCCTTAGGAACCCTTGTATTAAAAAAGTCTTATTGAACACGCGTACCACACAAAAGAAACTAACAATAAGCGCATATGTGCTCCTTAAACCGCATGGGGTTCAATCAATGTTTACAAAATTGAACTGCAACGGTTAACCAGACATGGACTCGAAACGATTGAACCGGCCTAACCGGTAGGCTGATTCAATCGTTCTAATCGAGCAAGTCTCGGGCGGCCAAAATATTGTTGAAAAAAATAAAATAATGCTTAAAAAAAAACACATTCAAATGAAATTTAAAATTAATGAAAAAAAATAGATTTTAAAAGTGAGTATTAATGACCAAAATAATTTTTAATATTTACTATATTATAAAAAATATTATAAATTGTATTATAAATCAAATTCCTTATTTTTAGGATCTGTATAATTTTTTTGAAATTTTATTTTAAAAATATCAACCGATCACCAAAACCGCTTGAAACCAAAACCGGCAAGGGGCCGGTCCCGATCTAACCGAACAGTTACCGGTTAGATTGCCCAGTTTTTTTAACAACGGGTTCAATACCAACCCCAACGTAGTACGCTGCTACTCTATATGACAACATCCATTCAGCCTGAAACAAAACATAAAGTTTTGGAAAGTACACCATGTTCCATGTTCCTCACAAGTAGTAATAAACTCCTGTGAATCAAAACTTGGTGAGTTCAACTCGGACCCGCTATATTAACTCGGACTCAGCTGGCCAGCGAGTCTAGACTCTAGAACGAAGACCATGGAAACCCGTTGAGTCTCACTAGTTTTCATTGCTTTTGTTGTAATTATATTGAAATCTGCTTAGTCTCTGAAAGACCTCAGTCCAGTCTAAGTTTCTTGACTCAGGCTCGGGACCCTAGAGTCTCCCACTAAATATGGGTGATATGTCAACCTCTGTTTTTTACAAGGTACGGTCATGATGTATGTAACCATACCGTTTGCGAGCTACACACGTTGCAGTATAAAATCCTTGTATTGAATTGCATAAAAGAGTATTTTTTATTTCACTTATAAAAAATACTCTTTTATTTAATTCAACACATCTGCACTGTTCCATTCTCAAATTGTGTAAACAACCACGTGCTTGCTTCTAAAGATGTTAAAGAACACAAAATGTAACTTTTAGAAACTAAAAAAAAGGAAAATTAAGTCCGTACCATTTTATTTGACGGTTATTATGTGATGGTCCAAAAATATGCGATATTTTTGCAGAAGTCCTTGTCCCCCATAGATACACATATATATATATATATATATATATATTCAAGTTTACCCACAGTCTGATATTTTAAACATGGGGATCACATTTTATGTATATATATATAACAAAGAAAGCAAGGAATAGAAAGTGAAAAAAAGGAGTTAATTTACCTAATGACATTTGAAAGCCCCGGTAGTTGAGCTCACGATATTCTTGACACAAGGCACAAAGCTCGCAACAACAATGCACTAAGCAGTCCCCACATGGGGTTTCTTGGAGGTAATATTGGCCCCTCAACTTGGAGCGATAGAAGCAGGAATAGCAACACGCACATCCGGTCATATACATCAATATCGCGTACAATGCACCACTTCCACCACATGCTACATATATGAGAGAGAATTTATGTTATACAAATGGTCAAATTGATTTCTCAACCTGTTACTTTCATAAGCATTTGTTTAGATTCATCTCTCGTCATAGTTTTCTGAATAATTTAGTTCGGACACACAAGACACACACAAAAAAAAGAACAAGGAAATTACTAAATGGGCCAATTTTGGCTAAAAATTACACGGAAGGTCGGATAAAGGATGTCATCTTCAGACTGTTTTTTAATTTTAATTTTAATTTTTATATTTTTTGAGTTTTTCGATAGTAGGGTTGTGCCCTAGTGTGAGGATCAGTGCCCAATCCATAAGGCAGTATGAGATTGACATCCTTAGACAACCTTATTTATTAACAAACAAATGAGCTGATGTAGTCTGAGGATGCCAACCTCAGACCACCATGAATAGCACCAAAGAGGGTGATCCAATAATGGGCAAGCTCGGACCGTCTCTAAATACTAAACCAAGTCAGTCTTTGCTGGTTGAGGAAGTCAACCTCGGGCTGCTTTGAAGAGTACCACAGAAGGTGGTCTGATGATACTAACATCGAACCAATTGAGTACTGCCCCATACATTAGGGCATAGCCTTACTATAGAAAAAATTAAAAAAACAAGTCGTCCAAAGATGATACCAATGGGCAATTTTGGAAAATTTTAAAAACCTTAGGTTGATTGACTTACTGTGTGATTTTAAAACCAAAATTGGGTCATTTCGAATTTTTGCATTTGTTTTGTGTCCATATATAATTCACTATTTTTTCTATATGCATTTGGGGTATAGTTTTGATATTTTTCTTAGTTTTCGACAGGGGTAATTACATGTACTTAGGAGTTATTTCATTATTTTCGGGTATTTCATTATTTTCGGTATTACTTGTATTTCATTATTTTCGGTTATTTCATTATTTTCGGTATTACTTGTTATTCTTATATTTTTGTTAATGGAAAAGGCATTTTGTAGAACTTGTATCCCTTGACAAACTATTTACATGCAAACTTGCGGCGATCTCTAAGCAAGATCAATTCAAATTCATGCAAAAAGAGTCACGTCAATCTCTAAGTGAGATCGACTCAAATTCATGTGAAACGAGTTAAAATTGAAGAGGACCACTCAAACTCTAGGTTTAAAACTATCTCATATTTTTGGAAGGGGCATTTATCTTGGAGCCTTTGGAATGGGACTTGGATGGGCTTTGGCCATGGTGGCCCAAGTTCTTGCCCTAAGAAACAATTAGAAAGCTCTTGGGGTCTGCTACGGCTTGGGATATGTTTCGGCTGGTTTTGGAACAATCCTAAATGGTCTAGGTTCACTTGGCTTAGTGTGATCCTTAAAACTCACATCTAAAGTTTTTAGGAATTCCCTTGGAAAAATGAGGGTAAGGTAAAAAGTGGCTTCATTTTAAACAACTATGAAAAAACAAACACTTTGGGATTATGAGAAAACAGAGTTATATTTAAGAAGTTACATAGTTACATAAAAAAGACGACCCTAAGTATAAAATTTCCGAACACAGTTTCCACCGTTTGTTGTCCGAGATAAATACTTTGCAAAACTGAATAACACTAATGAATCTCCCCAGTGAAGGAATGGTGATGGGTGATCTAATACTAAGCAAAGAAATTTATCAAAAGCTAATAGTCTTTATTTATCTATTTAGTTGTTTATTAGTTATAAATAAAAAATGAAACTAATGAGGGAGAAATCAACAAAAAAAAACAACTTGACTCACATGATGTTCCTCTATCGATTATCTCGACGATCTGACCAAAGGTAATGCAAGGGCAGCAACATGTTAAGCAGCCTGAAACAATGAAAATATGGTAAACAAATATATAGAAATTTATTGAATTTAAAGAAAGAAAAACGGATAGAGAAGAAAATTTCGAATCAAGAGAATACATATATTTATGTCGATAAATAACTTACAGTTTGCAGGATCTTCACAACAATCGCAGAGACCGGTGGACCAAGGCAGTGGATAGCCAGTGGGAGACTGAACCCGAACCTGAACAATTTGGATTTGTTGTTGTTGTTGTTGCTGCATTTGCTGTTGGGGAATGACGGTTATGTCGGACACCACTGGAGGGGCAGAGGGTACCGGTAGAGATGGTTTTTCCTCTTCCATAGGAGGATACATTGTCTCTCCAGAAGAGAGATGTTAGAAAAGCAGGAGGGGGTTGTGATGGATTTGAAAAGATGGGCAACCAGGCTTGAGAGTTCTCTAAATGTTGCAGAAACAAAGGTGAGAGACGAGAAACAGCAGTCAAGTTTTATGTTGTTCATGAGAGAGAAAGCAGTTACGTTAGAGAGAGAGAGGTTAGGTTTGGATAAGTAGTGGAAGTGGCATCCTTTCATCACTTTTCGCATCAAATTGCACCCCTTCTATCCGACCGCTCAAACAAAAAGGGAAAAAGTTTATATATGGTTGCAACCTTAAAAATGTAGAATTACATATTCACCTCAAAAATCCATAAGAAAAGATTGTTTTAATGTTGAAAAAACCTCTAATGGATCATCTCAATAAAATGATCTATGAATATGAAAAAAAAATATATTTTGAGTCTAAAAAATAGTACATCTTGCAACACATTTTTTAGACCGTCCATTTTCAAAATTTTCATATGTTGATAGATCTATTTGATTTTAATTATTTTTAAAATTAAAAATTTTACAATTAGATATAAAAATAGATTTTGAGATAATCTTGATAATGTTTTACACCAAATGTAAATATAATTTGGAGGTGCACCTTAATTGCATTGTTTTAGGTTGCAACCTTATAAAAACCACACCTAACAAAAAAAAACACCATGTCTTGGTCACTTTCGACTCACGAGTTCTCGACAAAGCAAACAAATTTAAAATGTCAAATCTAGACATTTTAAAAAAAAGAAATGATCCTATAGGACTTTCCCCCACCCATGTGTGTAAGACCCCAAAGGATCACCATTAAATTTGACATAGATCTATAAAAAAGTCAAGTCCTACACCCATGTGATAACTTTTCTAGAGATTTGCACCAACTTTAATAATAATCCTTTGAGATCCTAGACACATGGGTAGGGGAGAGTTCTATAAGATCATTACTCTTCAAAAAACTATGGCAAATAGCTTCCGCTTTTTTTTAAGCACATCTCTTATGCAAAATTAGAGTTTGGAGGGATCATAGATTTCGAGAAAATCTCAAAATTAATGTCTTAACCGGTGAAGCTCTTAAGCTCAAGCCTGATACGAATTACCTCATAATAATGTTTATAGTTTCTTTTTTGTGTTTCTTTTGTATAACACAGACTAAGAGACGCAAACCTAGTCATTAGGGCAGCAACATGCTGGGCTAGTGCTGGCCTGAGCCTATGGGTGGTTGTTTGGGACCAGTGCTGGCCTGAGCCTATGGGTGGTTGTTTGGGACCTTTGGATATGTAAATTCTTCTTTTGTTTGTCCATGTCTTGATGGCCTAGGGTCGTCTTGGTGCATTTTTAGAGACCATATCTTGGATTTTTACATCCTCAAAACCTCTCATATCCAACATTTGCTCATTGCAAAGTAACACTTGAAATAGCAAAGTAACACTTGAAATGAGTAAATGCATGGTTTTGGGAAACCTAGCTTTTGTATTGAGCTTGTGCTTCATCTTCTTTTTCTTTCTCACTCCTTGTAATAAAGATTACTATTTTGCATGTGCATTGCTCGTGATATGACTCACTATATATATATATATATATATATATATATATATATATACGCTACTACCACCACCTACGTACGTAGTACTACTAACTAAACTAAATTAAATTAAATTAAATTAAAAGTTAAACTTAAACTAAATTAATAGTATACTATACTAT